CACCTGTAGTTTGGCAAATCGTCCAGTGTTTTCTGAAGTGAGGGTAGTTTTCAGAAGACTATGTCCTCTGCGCTGGTGAGTGTTACAATTCAGAGACTGCATGTCTGTCAGTGTGATGAGGCCTTGACCCTTTTGTTAAATAATCAGTATCCTATTAGGGCTAGTTTTTCTTTCAGTTACAGACTTACTATGACCCTTTGGTATTTTTCTAAAAAGAAAATAAGCTGCCACTTAACTCCCAGGACAGGTGTAATTAGTACCTCAGCCATGGCAGAGCATGGGCAGGGAGGCAGATTCCCAGGGGAAGCTGTTTTGGGTGTATCTGCTGATCCTGGTTTTGAACTCGTGCACAGAAACATTCCTCGGCAGGTTTTGATGTGACAGCCTTCAGAAAGGATGGAATGGGGTTCTACCTGTCAGTGGAGTTCAGTGGGGTTCAGTGTCATGGCCACTCTGGTGCCAGAAGGGGAGCTTCCAAGATTTGTTTTAGGAATATTCAGTGCAGAACTGATTTAACTCATACAAACGGGGACATGGAAACCAAGAATTCCTCCTTCCATTGGGCGTGTTGGGCCATTTCCCCCTTCGCTGGTCTGGTGCTCAATAGAGTATGCTATGTGGTGGAGTTAAATTTTTTTTCTTTTTCTTTTTTTTTTTTTTTTTTTTTTTTTTTTTTTTGTACTGGGGACTGAACTCAGGACCTTGTACTTGTGAGGCAGGCGCAGTGCCACTGAGCTAAATCCCTGGCCCTGGTGGAGTTAAATTTTTTAATATGACATAATTCACATACCATAAAATTCATTTTTAGGGCCGGGGATTTAGCTCAGTGGCACTGTGCCTGACTCATAACCGCAAGGTCCTGAGTTCGACCCCTGGTACAAAAGGAAAAAACAAAAATCACTCTTAAATTGTACAATTAAGTTTTGTTTTTTAAAATAACTCAGAAAGTTATGCGACCATCACCACTATCTTAATTGTACAACTGTTAGGTTAAATTTTGACTTGAATCTTTGAATGAAATACCAGTCACAGAGCACCTGTGATTCTCAGGAAACTTGTTGAAAAACCTTAGTGCCTCTTTCAAAGGAAGGTGAAATTTTTATTTGTGTCATTTAAAAAACAATAGAAAAAAAGAGTTAGCTGATGTTGAATTTTTCTTAGCCTTGTTGCTTGATTGCTTGTCTGCTATGATGATGTGTATTTGTTAGGTCTTTAGGTTGGGACTTGTTTCTGTAGCTTTGTTATAGTAAAGAACCAAGCAAACCCAGCTATAGCAAAACCAAGACGACTGCCTTCTTGTCTTTCTTCTTTGTCAAGCCATGCTGCATTAGGGATAGTATAGCCCATCTTGTTATCCTTTGTGGCCATCACCTAGCATCTGTTGTATAGGAGGGGCTCAGTAGGGTTGTGTGAAGAAAGGGGCTGTTGGGCACTCAGGAGAGGTAATTTGGGGATGTATCACTGCACACAGTTCATGGTGACTTCATTACTTCTGTAGTCAGGGAAATGGTTTATTCTCCTGAGACAGAGCTGCTTTAGGAAGTACAAGCTTGACTTCTTCCCACGCAGTTACAGACAGAGAGCCTTCAAAGGCCCAGTGCCCTCCTGCTGTCAGGACTGCTCACCCTGCTGACCAGTGGATTTGTAAAGGCTTCTTGAGTGGACATGGTGAAGCGTGATGTGGGTGGTGTATGTCTTTGAGTGTGTACACATTTATGTGCATTCTTGCTCAAGCACACAGGGGAACTATGAGGAATTCCACCATGTTTTTATAAATTGCCTCTTTCTTCTCCCTGCCCTTGTGACTTACTGGTAGGCCAGGGTGCAGGGAGGCTCCAGCCTGGGCACATGGCCCCAGCGTGTTGGCCTTCAGTGGCCTATTGTTTCCTGCCCGTTATGTGCGTGGACAGAGGACAGGGGCTGGCACAGCTGCCTTCTTGGGGGACCATTGTTTATCTTAGCAGCAGTGGTAGCAAAGCCTGAAGCAGCACATTCTGCTCTGGCAAGAGCAGCATTCCGTTTTGGGATGTAGGCACGGAGTCACCCTTAAAGTCTGGGTGAATCCTCTGGGGTGGGCCTCAGGGAGGGGCTTGTCGGAGAACTTCAGTGTGGTCATGGAGGAGGGGAGACGCCCAGTGGTGTCACAGCACAAACCAAGCAGGAGGCAAGTGGTGTCTATTAGCAGAGCCTTTCTTCTCCTGGATCTGGGTTGGGCTATCGCTTTCTCCCCTTCTCTGCCCTCTGATTTATAGACACATCTCACTCAGGATGCATTCACAGAACAGAACAGAACAGAACAGAAAGAAAATGTCCTCCAGAGCCACCCTGTGGAGTAGATTTAGGAAACAGGGAAGGAATGCTGTCCAGTTGAAGATTAGTCAAAGCGTGGGCTAGCCAGTCAATTGTGTCCCTTGCTTGTGAGCAGCACTCTGAGAGGTTGAGGCAAGAGAATCACAAGTTTGAGCTCAGCCTGGGCAACTTAGTAACTCTGCATGACCCTGATTTAAAATAAAACATAAAAAAAGAGCTGGGATGTAGTTCATTGTGAAGGCCTTGGGTTCAGTCCCAAGTACTGAAAAACAAAAGAAAAAAACCAAAAAACATGGGCTATTAGGGAGTCAGTGGGCTACTCCAAACTTGGTTCTAGGAGCCTGAACCATTCGTCACCTGGAAGATGAGAGGTTGACGTTCAGGGGTGCGTTCCATAGTCACTAAGATTTATTCAGAAATACCTTTAGAGACTCGTAGATGGTGTTAGGCTTCTTGTTTCTCTGCCCTGCTGTCAACCTTTTGGGTGGGCCGGACAGACAATCTAGCTTGCATCCCATTTGCACCTGATTGTATGCTGACCTTCTGTTGCACGGCTTACTGCGTCTTTCCTCAGTCTTCTCATCTGTGCAGTCAGGGTGCTTGGAAATACTGCTGACGTGGGCCCTTCCCGCAAGGCCCCAGGGTGGGTGCTGAGGAGGGGTGCAGTTCGTGCTGTGCTGCCCACTCATGGGGGCTCCTGAGAAGGTCAGGGCAGAGCTCCACGTGGCCTGGGTGTGCGTGGAAGCTTCTTACTCTAATTCACATATCGCAGAGGCTCACCGTGATGTGCTTGTTCCTTGGACAGGACAACTCTGGAGTCTCTGCCTCTGAGACTTCATGGGTCTCAGGGGACTTGCCCAGGACCCCTACAGCAAGGCAGTCATAAGTGAAGTACAGGTTCCTCAGAGGAGCTGGACAGCACCCCTGCCTTCAGTCTCCCGTTGTATGTTTGTTCCTGACTGGGTCCCTACAGAGCTGTCTTACCCTAAAGGTAATTCTTATTTAATGATCAAATTTTCCATAATATCAGTGAGCTTTTTGGGTGCTGTCTATCCACAGTCTGCCTAAATAAGGGCCCCGACTGCTGGCCTTTTGTTAACACGTGGAAAGGGAGCAGATAGCTCCAGGAGCAGCCTTAACTAGCGCTGTTGCCTTTAAGAGACCCAGAAATCTCTGGTAAGAACCAGATGCCTGAAGTGACCTGTGCAGAGGAAACACCCCCCCCCACGCACGCTTGTAATCAGATTCCAAAACACACAGAACAAGAGAGCTTTGATGAGTGATGAGGTAGGCGGCTTCTCTGTGCAGCCTTCTGTCTGCTCAGAACAATCCTGCAGGGTTCAGGTTCAGTTCAGGTGAGGTCACTGCGGGCTGGCTGTAGTGGTTGGCAAGGAGGAGGTGTGAGGTGTGCCCACAGATCACCCGCATCACCCCCACAGGGCCATATGCGTGTTATATGACGCTATCTGTTGAAACACAAACAAAAATGAAGATGGGGACAGATCATGAATCCACAGCTACTCCCAGGCAAAGCCCAGTGTATCTTTTCCCATCCTTTGTTTTAAGAAAGAATGCTTGCAAATGTTTAAAAGCATCATGGTACCGATCCTGGATTTGCCTCTTGAGTTATCTGCAGCTCAGGAGAAAGCTCTAGATGTTCCTCACCTGCCACTGCTGTGCAGAATACAGCACAGACAGAAGCGCTGTGGACTGCACGTGTGGGAGTTGAATTTGGAGCCTGCATCAGGAAAGGTGTGATATGGTTATGCTTTTTGCCTGGAGTCACAGTCACTGTCCTATCCTAAGGTCCTGGAGCTGAGCACACTTGCAGGGAAAGGGATGAGGGAAATGGCTGCATTCTGACTCAGATGGGGATGGGAACATAACAGTGGCAGGACACACACCACGGGCCTTCCCCGAGCTGGAAACAGCCTGGCGTTGGCGGGCTGCTTCCTGTGAGCGCCAGGTCTCTTGTCAGTAAGACATCCAGTGTTGCATTCAGGGCAGAATTGGTTGCATCTGGAGCTGCAGTGGCTGAAGCTCCTCAGAGACAGTGTTTGCTGGTCCTTGGAGTAGGAAGAACTGGCAAGCCAGAAACCTGCCAGGCCGGAGCCTAACCAGAAGTCTTCTAGCTCTGACACAACAGAAGCTCTAAGGCCACGAGGGTGAAGCAACAGAGACATTAATGATTTTGTTAGGGGTTGGGGAGAGTGACAGAACTGTTCTACAGGTTAAAACCTGCCCCCAGGTCAGGCATGGTGGCACAGGACTGTAATCCCAGAACTTGGGAGGCTGAGGCAGGAGGATCACCGCGAGTTCGAGGCTAGCCCGGTCTACATAGTGAGTTCAAGGCTAGCCTGAACTACATAATGAGACCTGGTCTCAAAAAAATAAAATTTTAGAAAATGGAGATAAACTAGTAGCTACCTTATAAGGTTGTTGAGTGATAATTGACTTGTGCCCTTTGCTAGAAGAAAACCCATATTCTGGCACTGTGTCACAAACCCTGCAGATTCCCAGTTTGCACTGTTCTTCACTGCCCGTCCTGCCCTCCCAAATCGCCAGTTCACATTTCAGGCTTTTTTATTAAGGACTTTGGATTTCCCAGGGGACACGGAAGGAGGGTGAACGCCGGTGCGCGTAGTGTTTGCGTAGGGCCACCCTTCTGACTGTTCCCTTTCCTGTCGTAGAGATCCGGGCTCAGCTCACAGAGCAGATGAAATGCCTGGACCAGCAGTGTGAGCTCCGGGTGCAGCTGTTGCAGGACCTGCAGGACTTCTTCCGGAAGAAGGCCGAGATTGAGATGGACTACTCTCGCAACCTGGAGAAGCTGGCCGAGCGCTTCCTGGCCAAGACGCGCAGCACTAAGGATCAGCAATTCAAGTAGGGACCCTGAGGCCTCCACTTTTCGAGCCCCTTAAAGTGGAGTCTGGGTTGGCGGGTGGTAATGGGCACCTCTTAGATCCAGCTGGATTCGTAAGCCAGTGATGTCAAATTCAGTTTCAGCCCTCAGAGCCTTTTCCTTCTCTCCTAATCCTGTGCGCAGTTTTGTGCCTTGTAGAGACCGCAGAAGATGATGAGCCACGCTAATAATATTAAAGCCTTTATGGCCCTTTCTGTGGGCCAGGTGTGGGCTTTCCAAACATGTTAGCTAGCTTAATGCACACAGCGAGTCCATACCTTGGTTTTTGTTATCCCTAGCTTACAGATCAGAAACCGAGGTATGAAGAGGATAAGGAATTTCACCTAGTAGTGTTGCACCCAAATACTCCTAGTAAATGGCAGCAGCCTGGCTCCAGTTTCTGTGCTCTTAATCATTTCCCCAGACTGTCCCTAACTAGAAGAAATAATGATGTCATTTATGGCTACACATCTACATTCCTGCCTGAGTATTTACTAAGGCCTCTGCCTTCTACATTTACAGTATCTTTTTAAAAATTCTAATTAATTTTATTGGCACATTTAAGGTATACAGTATAATGACGTTCATCATTGGAAATTTGCACCTTTACATAATCCATGTTGGTTCTTAGTTTTTCCCTATTCCCCTGCCCTCCCTTCAACCTTTCCCTCCCTCCTTATCTACAGAGACTTTGTTTCCATTTTTTCATTTTCTTGTATGAATTCTTATAAATCTGGCCCCTTCATTGTCCCACGGCATTGCCCCGTTTTGCCCGAGTAACTGTAATACGTACGGTATTATCTATAGCAGAAGTTTTCAACCAAGGCTGTACCTTGGAATTTCCAGGAGAACTTTTCACAGATACAGAAATCTGGGCCCCTCTCCAGAGCAATTAAATGAGAAAGCCGAGGAGCAGGGCCCTGGTGACGGGACCACAGTCTGCAGCTTCTTCCCGCTGCAGTCCGGCTGGCCCAGTCACGTGATCGGACAGAATCTTCCCGGAGCACCCTGGAGTGAGGGCAGGCTCTCTGGGCCGAGCTGTCAGTGACTGCTTCTTGTGTATACTCTTGATACTTGGGATGTGGTTATCCGGCGTCCGCATCCTCTGAGTGTTGGAAATGTAGACTCTCGGGCCCCACCTCCGGTCCCGGGTGACTTGTGAATATATTGAAGTCTGAGAAATGCTGTTCTGCGCACACAATGCACACTTCTTGGCTTGGTCTTCAAGCTCTCGTACCTCTGGCCTCAAACCTTGCTTCTTGTTTCTGTTCCAGTGTATTTTATTTTCTCCTGTTTTTTATTTTTGTTTATTCCCTTAATAGTACATGACAGAAAAGTTCTTTTCCAAGCCAGCTCTGAGCAAGGAACATAGAGGTTAACGTCAGGGAAAACACAGGACATTCTCCCAGTGATCCAGGAGGAGAACTTCCTCCAGATGTTTGTTCTGCACTCTCTCATATCTTTCCCAAGTCCTGTTCTCCTTAAGATAAGAGAATCGTCTGATGATAAAATGTTATTTTAATATGTGATTAATGAAGACTTGGGAGAGGACTCATTTGCTTTGGAAAGTGATTCAGAGTTAGATTTATTCTGTTGGGAAGCTCCTCTTAAGTTTAAAATAGCATCTGCATTTTTTATTACTACATCATATTCTCAGAAAAGCACATACTTATTATTGGTTAACGTATAGCCAGGTATGGTGGCACATGTCTATAATCCCAGCACTGGGGAGGCTGAGGCAGGAGGATTGCCATGAGTTTGAGGTCAACCTGGGCTACATAGTGAGTTCAAGGCCAGCCTGAAGTACATAGTAAGACTGTGTCTTTAAAAAAAAACAAAGATAAATAAGTACATCAATAAATATACAGATGTGTTACTCTCTAAATGATCTGAATTACTTTGATTAAGATAATATACAAAAGATGAGGTATTTTCTCTATGACTAAAAAAATTTTTTTTCCTTCTGATAAAGGTGATACTTGGTTTTTACCTTTTTTATTGTTTGGGTCCTCAAATAACCAGTATTTATTAATTGCCAGCTCTCTAGTCACTATTACACAAGGTATTGGAAGATACAAGTACAGTTCCTTGTGTGTATCGTGGGGCAGGGCTCATGTCTGATTGAAGAAGAAAGATTTTGAGTGGAGGAAGTTGACTGGTGAAACAGAATGTCATTAACAGATCATTGTGTTCCATGGAACGTGGATCTGATCAGAGGGGAGTGATAAATCATCAGAGCGGATAAAGGATCTAGAATAGTCAGAGGGTTTTCATGGACCAAGTGGGACTTGGGTTAAGGGTAGATTTGTGCAGGAGAGGAGAGAACAGCGTGTACAGGTGGGAGGAGGTAGGAATATTTTGAGGTGGAAGGCAGTATGGGGTCTAGTACTCTGAACTCGTCCAGCGAATATCCACTTCACGTTTTTTGAGCTCCTTCATACTGGCTTGGAAACTATCAGAATGTTCACTGCCTCTTCCTCATAGCACTTACAGTAGAATGGGGAAATGGGCATTAAACAAATCAGACTCCTAGGCATGCAATTTTAAGTTAGGGTAAATAGTGTGGAAGGAAAGATAAGAACCTAAAAGAGGGGGACTTCTCTGCCTTGGTCATCGCTTTATCACATTGTGGCTGGTTTACTCCAATAGTTTCCTGAGTTACAATCCACTTACTCAGCAAACCCTGTTAAATACCCAGTGGGCCCTACCCTCTGTGCAGGCTCCGTGGGGACTAAGATAAGCTTTGGGATTCCTGGTTAATGGGGAAAGGAGACATATAGGCAACATCAAGTGAAAAGGGCTTTAATAGCAGTATGAGGACACAGATGTTTTCAAAAGCAGTGGAAAGTAAAACTCATTAAGTAGCCTGTACCCTCAAAGACGACTGCTCAATAGCAGAGAGGTTCAGATTTGATGCAGCAGTGCGGTGATGAGCCTTCTGAGTTCGTGTGTTGGGAGACAGATCTGAGGGAAAGTGTTATAAAAGCATGAATTTGTATCCAGAGATGGCCACAGTTTCAGGGCTTAACTCATGCACATTTGATAGCCAAAAAAGAATGGACAGGAAAGAATGTCTTTGTGTTAGCTTTCCATTACTGTGACATAATACCTGAGCTATACAGCCTGTAAAGAAAAAGATGGATGTCTCAGAGACTTCAGACCATACTTGCTTGGCCCTATTGTTTTGGGCCTGTGGCAGTAGAGTACAGCATGGCAGGAGTGGATGGCAGAGGCGTGTTCACCTCTTGGTGGCCAGGAAGTGAAGAGAGAAAGGAAAGGGCCAGGGGTCCCAATATGTCCTTCAAGGACACACTTCCAGGGGCTTCACTTTTGTGCTAGGGCAACCTCTGGAGGTTCCACCACCTCACAATAACTCCACTGGCAATGTGGTTTCCACAGTAGAAGTGAGATGTTGAGGGGAGGCCTATTTCTGATGGCGGTTGTACTTTGGACACATTGGCTTTGGAGTAGTGCAAGGTCTTCAGGCATCCAAGATGTTGTACTGCAGAGCTAAGAGGCTGTAAGCGGGAGAGTCTCTAGTGTAGTGATCGTGGAAGATGTGAAGGTCTGTGAACTCAGGGGAGAAAAAAACAGAGTTAAGCCCAGGACCCAAGGCTTGGGAGATACCTAGTGTAGTAAAACCAGTACTAGCAAAAGTAAAATTACCTGGAGAGAGGAAGGGAAAGAGTTGGCCCTTTCATGTCCCCCAGGCAGGCTAAAGGATAGGAAAGTAAGTTAGGCTGGTACGGTCTGCTGGAACTAGAACTGGATGATCAGTAAAGGTTAGTCCCAGAACTTATTCTTTCACCTTACTGGGTATTGAACCCAAAGCTTTCACTGAGCTATATCTCCAGCTCTATTTAAATTGTCTTTTCCTTTTATTTTGAGACAGAGTCTCACTAAGTCACTAAATGGCTCAGGCTGAGTTTGAACTTGCCATCCTCCTACCTTGGCCTCCCAGATTGCTGGGATTACAGGTGTGTGCCACAAATGTCTTATTATAATCTTGTGTTTAAGGCATTGTGAGAGATGCAAAGATAAGTAAAGTGAGCCCCAGACTCAAGAGCTTTCTATTAGAGTGCAACATGTGAAATTGCTGTTTTCTATAGATCAAAATGGTCAGGTAATTTCACGTGGTGCAGCCTGGTCTGAGAGATGAGACGAACATACAAATGCATGCAAAAAGGGAGGTGGTGAGAAGCTCAGGAAGAGAGGTCTCAGAAACACCCTGCCTTCATATATGATTTATTCCCAGTGTGTGTATATATTTAAAAGCCACATAGCTGAATGTCTAACTACAGTTTCTCACAGTGAGTTCTGTTATTATAAGCATATGTGTGAAATTCTGAATTATACTTCTCCTGATATGTTTTTGGTATTTTGTACCTTGTCTTTGGTTTTCTTTTTTCACTATTAAACCCATGACCCACCTGCGTAAGTCTTCAGTGAGCTTCTGAAGTGTCTGTGTGGCTGATTTGTACCCCGTCATCCTAACGCAGCGACGAGATGTCTGTTCTCAGTGCAAGGCGAGGAACGGTGCTTGCCTTTCTCCACGTTCTGCTCACTTCTGTATTGCAGAAGATGACGAGCACTCACATGTCTGCACGGCTCACACACTGCTCTGCAGACCGCCGTGCTGCCAAAATCGGACCATGACACCACCAGGCCAGGCTCGACACAATTGATGAGCACCCGAGAATTGGGCATGTGGGTGCACATGTTGGATGTGGTTAAGGTTCAGACCTGGCTCAGTAATAATACAATAGAGGTTGATTTCTCTGCCATGCAGTAGTCTGATTTCTAGCCACCCACGGTCATGTCAGACTCCTTTTTCCATCTCTGGATTGATGTCCTTGACCTTATGACTCAAGAGAACTCCCTGCCACAGTGTCCTCATTCTAACTAATGGGGAGGGTCACAGGGCGAGGGGAAAAATAAACCTTTATTCTTTCAACGTTATCTGGAAGAGCCAAATACATGT